CATGTTGATTTTCAAGTAGGCGCTTGCAAGGTATTTGTTGGATTATAGACCTTTGATTTCACCAAACCGGGCTCAGAAAACCAACAATCAACACCACAAAGAATAACCTAAGCTCCAAAACCGAGCCACCACCCAAACTACCGGTTGCTCTACCTTGAATCAGCCCACAAAGGGCTCGGTGTGAAGAGTATGGTAGCCTCAAGAGATAGCCACAAAGGCTAGAGAAGAAGGCAAGCACAAAGCAAGACCAAGAAGCACAAAGCAATCTCTTCTCTCTCAATTTCTCACACGGCTCCAAGTTTTTCACACCCCGACAAGACCAAAAATAACGACCCCCTTATAAACCAAATAAGTGGTCTTCTAGGTCAAGCATAAGTGGCCCAATAAGTACCAATAAATGGGCCTCCACGCAACAAAGCCGTCCAAGGTATTTGGGCTGGGCCATGAGCAACACCAATAAATTGGGCTACTTCAAATGGCCCATTTAGGTAGTCGGAATGATTCGTTCTTTGTGGTGTCAACATTTTTCTTCAATCATCGGCTGAGGCCTATGAAGTCAAATTCAAACTATAAAACCGGTTTAACATCATAACTCGGATTTATTGGGTATCAAAACCCAACAGACACATATATATGACTTGATTGTCGTACATAGGAACTTAATCCTAGGTAAGTAATGGACTTTAATTTCTTTGAAGTAAGCATGAGAGAGATTGACAATTATCTTGGTGTCTTGAAAATTATAGTGAAATAACGAGCAATATATATTTGTAACTTGGAATTCCTCACCTATATAATAGGTGTGATCTTCACGTCAAGAGATTTTTTAATGAATAGTTAATTCAGAACCTAGTAGTTTGTCATAGATTGTTGAGTTAATATTGTGATCCGATAACAGTGACGAGAGTAATATGTAAAAATTACCTTGATTGATCAAGAGTGGGTCGAATCAAATTTAATTTATAGGAATTCAGCTTAATTATCTCCAACCAGGATCCTTCAAGAGTTTCAAAATAATAACTTGACTAGATGATAAGAGTTTTAATTTATCAAAGACGTCTCTGCGAGTATTAGATTCATTTGTACAAAGACGTGCTAACCTAGCAAACACGTGCACTAGAGAGTTTTATCGTTGTGAATCTGCAAATAAAAATCTCTAAATAGTTTAATTCTTGAAGAACACAGGAAAAGGCTTGAGTGTTTTAAGGTGAAATCGAGAGGTATTAAAAGGAAGAACGCGAATGGATTTTTGTAGAGAATACTACATGAATAATTTGTAAAACACTGTGTTCCATCTTAAACAAAAGCCATTATATTCAAATTGGGTTTTATATTAATATTCTTTCAATAATAACGAACTGACTTTAGACTGTCACTATGGGGCATTAACGAGGGCATTAATCGAAGTCATTAACCACTTTATACACACGAAAAACAACAAATTCATTAAGGGGTTTAGGATTCATTTTATTAATCTGCATCTCTTGCCTCATACTGCATCTTTACACCAAAACAACAATTTATCTAACACTAATCTGTCGATAATCAAGAAAGTATTGGCAATGATGATTTCTCGCGAATACATGACACTAATTATTTTTATGAGAATCCTAGTCCTTGTCTTGTGCTTGACATTCCATTGCACTCATGGATATTTGCATCTCCCATAAGCTGCACCAAGAAATTTGTGAAATAAGATAAGTTGAACCCATGATCAAAAGTTAAATAAAAGGGTAGATAATCGAAAACAAGATCTAAATAAAACACTTGGGATTGATAACATAGACACCATAGCACTTACAAGGATTGGTGGCTGCTGGAGTACCGATATGGGCATTGCACACTCCATTGTTTCTGTAGTATAAATCAAGAGCATACGATGCGTGATTTCTTATTGTGTTTGGCTCAAAACACGTACCACCTGGATTGATTTGTCTACAATCCAAACTTCCGCAATTAGCATCCAAGAATGCTTGCATTTGGGCATCCGTTGCAGATACTTTTGCCACACACCACATTTTCCCCTACAGATACACAAAATTTAAATCAAATGAAACCATACATACGTACATATGTGTGCGGATGCGCTTGCATTTCTAATAAATCTATAATGATAATTATAGGGTTATGTATAAAATGATAATATTTTGGTGCGGAAATGTGGCATACTCGTTTTTTGTCATCCAAGTTGAGGTCTCGAGTACAAGAGCAAAGAACAATGCCCATAAGAAAAGTAACAAGAAACAAAGAAGTATTGATATTTGCCATCTATTTGTTTGCACAATCACTCAGTAGACTATGTTTATTGATAATAAGAACTTTCACAAATTCATTGATCTTAAATAGGATTTGGCATTGATATCTACAAGTTGAATTCACTTAATCTATTGAGAATTTTTTTTTTTTTGGCAGATTTTCAGAATCTTGTGGATTTAAATGATTTTACGTTGAAGCTAGCTATCCTTGAATAAAGTAACGTTCTTGGATTTATTTTCACGACTTGTAAAAATGTTGCATCTAACTTTGACCATTATTGTGGATTTTCTTTATAATCTTGTGGATTTTGATAATCTTATGTCGACAGTTATGCAATTATGTGTATCCCAGAAATTGCATTGCGGCTTTAAAAAAAAATTATATTTTTTCAATATAACTTGTAGATTTCGATAATATTACATGACATAGATAATTCATCTGTATCCAAGGAATAAATTTGCTATAACTGCTCGAATAATGCTATTCATTAGTATAGGTGATGAACAATTATGTATGTGACAATGAGATTACTATCACGTTATCCAATAAAGTTGAAATACATTTTTAGCCCCTGTTTGTTCTACATTTTTTTTCCATTCTTAGAAATTTTTGACTGTTTTTTTCAAACAGCCGGGCCCCATCATCACACAAAGGAGGTCAAAAATGTCAGATGCTTTACTGTGCAACGGTCATAATATTTATACAAATGGGAAAAAATGTAGAACAAACAGGGGTTTAATCATTGTACAATATGACTGTGACTCACGATCACATAATTTTTTGTTCATCAAATTTTTGGCTAATCTTTATAATTGATATCTAATATTTATATTTATTTGAAGATGATGCATTAAGGTACCGCAGCATGTTTACATCCCCACCCTCATCCACCTCCGTCTTCTTCAATTTCGTCCAGTGCCTTCAATTTCTTCAAACCAGAGACAATTACAATAAAAACCCCAATTTTCAAGAAAATTTTAAATTTAAGGTTTACGACCAATACTATTAAAGAGAAAAAAAAATGAAAAATTATATAAATTTAAGGTTTACGACCTATACTCGCACTTTTAGTTTTATAATTGAATCTAACGATCATAGTATATATTGGTCACGACAGAAATAAACATTCATTCATGTAAATAATCTCAAATCATATAAATTCTATAGAACGATACTAGACACTTCTCAACTATAAATCATGTAATCAATAATTTCAAAATCGTTATGATGAGAATACAGTTAAATTTGATCGTTCTGATTCCAATGGTTAGAAATAAGTTCGTAGAAATCGTAATCATAAAATTTCTATCAAAAATTTACAAATCCTATAACTATTTTAAATTAATTTTGTAGGAGTTAGGGGAATTATCATTGAAGCGCGATTATTTTTAACTCCGTATTCGGTATTTGTAGTTGAAATGCAACTGCTAACATTTATGTTCTTGAATTTTCCAGGTTCAAACTCGTGCATTTCTTTTGATAATTTTTAATGTACTGAAGTATGGGTGAGTGGATACTAAATTTTCTAGCATAATAGCATCCAATTCCAACTGTAGCTTTTCGTGCGGTGCCCTGAGGTAAGTAGAGCGTAAATTACAGCTAAGAATGACTGCGAACGAAAGTAATATGATTCAATTATTAAAATAAACGAATCTATTTGATTTTGGATACTACTTAGGCCTTATAAATTTGCTACTTGTTGAGCTTCGCAAATTTGCTACTTGGATCGGGTCATTAGATCAGGGTGAACAAATTGTATGTATAAAAAACTTATGAAAAAGAAAATTTTGATTCTAGGGCCACGTACCCAAAGTTTCGGTTCAAGAAACAAGAATAGCCTGCAACTCGATCTTTATTCAATTCTAGTTCCTAGTTTTTTTTTTTGGACCGATTTTGGTTCGAGAGTTTTGATTTCAGTTAAAATGTCCATCCCTACTATTGAGGCAGATGCTTCTGAGAGTACAGAGACTTGACTAAATAGAAAACTCGAGAAGAGTTTCATGTAACTGAAACTAGTGAAATAAAGACAACTCGATATGTTATGTCTATACGGGGATGAGATCAAATCGAAAAAGAAGTAGTTGTCGAATACATATGTTTAACATAGTTATAGATCCCTATTGTTAATGAAAGTGAGAATTTTGAATCAAAATTTGTCGAAGATTGTCGAATTAAAATTATTTGGCCAAAGTAGGAAGCAATCAAGACAGATTTCTATGTTATGACCTACATTCCAAATTCCAAAATACTGAAAAGTGTAAAGCTAGTAAACTACCCATTGGTATTTGTGCAATAAAGAAATTGAATTTTTCTAAGAATTAACAATGAATATAAAATGATATTATCTAATATGGTGAATGCGATAAGAATCTCATATTTTATTAGCCTAAAATGCATGAAAATCATAAGCTTCAATGAATATTATTATAAAATGATATTATCTACCATTAAATACTTGATGACAAAGTCCTAAAATGATTGCATATAGAAAAATGAAATTCATTTGATAACCGATGGTAATTTTTTCACTTGTAGTGGAAAGATGACCATTTCATCCTCAAGATGATAGTTAATAATTTATTGATCGCAATATAAGTGCAATATATGTACTATTATATCTTGCTAATAGCTCATGATTCGGGGAAAAGTTGGTTATGATGATGCAAAATATTATTTGATCCTCATAAAGCTTAACAACAAAATTATTATTCACGTGTGGTAATAATTATGATTTGCATGACAGAAATACTCATAAAAGTATTATCTAGTGCAACTTGAGAAGGTATACGCGTAGGGATGTCAAAAAAGCTCGTTGGCTCGAGTTCGACCCGGAAAAAAGTTCGAATGGGCCCGTCTCGGGCTTGGTTCCACCGAGCCCATTTTGGGGCATCAACAGCGAGCCTGGCCTGGAACGTGATTAAGTAATATAAAAAAAATTAATTTTTCTTTTGACTTTAAATGTTTTTTTTTATATATATTAATATTTAGTTATTATTTATAACACGTATAAATTGCACAAATTTTAAATAGATTTATAAAAAATTTTAAAATAAAACACGGGCTGGCTCGACTCGGCCCGCTAAGGCTCGAGCCGAAAGCTCGGTCCGAGCCTCATTTTTTTGGCCGAGCTTTTGCTCAACTCGACTCGGGCAAAAAAAAGCTCGAACCTATTTTGCTCGAACCGAACCCGAACTTTGAGTTTCGACTTGATTCGTTGACATAGCTTTATACGCGTTGTACTATTTTTCTTTCGCTCAATTTATTTATTTATTTATTTTTTGCCACTTGGTTTTCGTGACAGGTTTTAATAAGGCAGGATTTTATTACTTGAAATTTTTGGTACTTATTTTCCTTCTTTTGGTGTTTTTATCCTACCAAATTATTGTCAAACAAGGTTTTTAACGAGGCACATATTGTGTAATTATTCATTCAATAGGGAGTGTTATAAGGCAAATATTATTTATAAATGACAATTATATTCCACAACACTAGTTATATCCTACAATACAGGGTTTCGATTCCCGTGAAAAAAACTAATATAATATAGGGTATTCATACTCTTTCTCCATTATCTTATACTATTCCACCTTTTCTCTTAATTTTATAGCACTTTTTTCATTTGCAATTTAATAAATAGAAATGCTTTGCAGCTCTGAGTCAATTTTTGAACAAATTCATTCTCGCTAATTTAGTAAATTATTTATTATATACAAAAGCGTAGTCAGGCGCACAAGATGAAATTGGAGCAAAGCGAAGTATTGTGACTTCATTAATTAGCAAGATTCATCTCTAATATCAATTTCGTCAAAAAATTATGTTAAAATGGTGTAAAACCATTTCCATGAAAAATTTATGTTAACAGTAGTATGAAAATACATTCTTACCCTTAAATTTAAAGAAACAAAAAGTAAATAGCAAAAATAAATAGACAAAAGAAACAAAATAAAAAGGAAAACATTAAACAAACAAAAAATGATGTGTTTGTTTGCGACCATGTATTACCTTTATGAGATGACACACATAATAATGTTGATGTTGATCCACAAATCTCTAGAGATGAGCATGTAGACATCGTTAGTGATGGTGCCATATAAGAAAGTATAATTGACATTAGTTTACAACTGCCCTCTAAGAAAATTAATTTTACTATTTACAAAAGCTTCGTCATGAGATAAGGTAAGGCTAAGGACGAGCCTATGGTCGTGTTTTAATAATTGGAATGGAAGTTTTATGATAGTTAACACTGGGGTTGATTAAATCATTTTGTTACAATTTTAACTTTTTAGCGATCGATAGACCCATCAAGTTTCCTTTTGATATGAAATAACGTAGTATAATAGAATTTAACAAATGTTTAAGTTATAATTTCAATAAATTATATACAATATAACAAGATTAAAGCATCATGTTGTTCCCAAAAATTACAATTTCTAATATTATATATATACCCATGTTTGGTATCCATTTCTTAGAACTCCTTTTTTTTTTTCAAATTATTTTCAACCACACATTTAAGTATTTTTTTTTTTTTTTATCAAAATATACTAAAAATTTGATTTTAATCCGAACTAAGCAGGACCAAATTGCAATCAAGTGTAAACTACAATTTTAAAAAATAATTATATACATTGTAATCGGATTAACAAGTTACAATTATTACAATTAGTGGAGTTTAAAATCAATTTTTTAGTAAATTTTAATAATAGTTATAGGAATGTGTGGCTGAAAAGTTATGGATCCAATAAAATATGTGATTAAAATTAATTGTTAATTTTGATTTAGATTAAAATTTGAAATTTTAATTTCTATCAAACAGTGACTAAGGGTGTGTTTGATCCACATTATTTTTTAAGAATGTATTCTGGAATAGTAAATTGATAGAGAATTTGTGGTTGAAAAAGAAGGAAAACTTATTGATGTGATAGAAAATATTATTTTATTGAAGAATGTGTGGTTAAAAATGAGTAGAAAATTTTAATGTGTACCAAACATGGGTTAAATATACAATTTAT